CAATCGTTAGCTGGTTTTTCAAGGTTTAAATAAAATTAAAGTAAAATAAAGCTGGGTTTTATCCTTTGGCCATTTTATTACCCATCTGTAAACTGCTCAAGAGAAAAAGAGAGAAATACAACCAGTGGGAATGCAGAGAAGACACAGTGTGGCTTAGCAGCTGGTGAGGAGAAAGGAGAAAAACGCAGGCCCATGCTCCAGAGGAGCCCCGGCAGCACCTTCCTTCTCCTGCTCACAGTTTATTCTGTCTGAAGTAGCGGGAGCATCTGCTGCCTTCTTCACTGTTTACTCCTAATGTGTAGTTTGCTTCTTAATGAGCAGTTCTGTGCCTTGGAGTCACTAACAACCTCATCAGTAAGTCCTTTGTTCTGTTGACATCTCTGAAAGCATCACTTACACTGAAAATTCTGTTTATGACACCCTTCCTCCTGTGGCACCCTCTTAGAAGACACACAATTCACATGTGCCACCTGCGGCACACAGATCTGCATACTGGGCACTTGATCTAAACTTGTGGGGCCAGCTTTGTGACTAGAAGTCACACAGGACCTATGATTTACTTATGGAAAGCATTAGTAGCTGTAATCTGCTCCCTGTCAGAGCTGCTCCTAATCAAGTCAGCTGATTTATTATCATGTAAATAATGCTTATCACTGAAATGTCTGATGAGATAAAATACAGATCAGGTCTCTGAGGTTGGCAGAGCTGGAGGAAAGACCTGGGTAGAGTGGGGTGGCAGGAAACAGAGAAGAAGCCATGAGTTGCTTGCACCTCGTCCTAGGTTTGAGGGAAGTCTGGAAGTCCGCTGGTCGATTCTGACTTGTCAGTCACTACAAAGAGAAAGCCCGTTGTCCTGAAAGACCTTAACAGCTACATGGGCAGGGCAGCAGCAGCCCTTCCTAGCGCTCTCCCACTGTGCTTGCCTGTATTGCCGTGTCTCCACCTGACCCAGTCTGCAAGGAAGGCTAAGGTTCTGTCCCACTTCAGTGGCGGTATAAATGCTGGAATGGATAACAAAAGTCATGATTATAACAATTTTCAGTTGTGTAAAGCTTTTAACATTACCTCTCTTGGTTCACTTTCTCACTAGCAATACTGTGTGTTTTCCTGCACACAACTACAGCATGGCTTTTCATAACAAATGCCACATTCAACTTCAGGTAGTGCAGCTCACTCAGGTTTCTCTCCAGCTGGTCACCATCTAGTCCAGAAGTGAGACTCCAAAAAGTAGAAGTTAAAAAGAATTGGAGTTCATGGAGCTCATTTCTACAGACCTTCTTAGCACACCACACACACACACACACACACAGATTAGTCACTCTCCTGCCTAATCAATTGCTCAAGCACCCTACTGACTTGAGTAGTGCACTGCACTGGTATCTGTGATGCACATGGAGGCCTGGCACATGGTTAAAGATGAGGGAAACATGTAGAGAATACAGCCCTGGAGTCGGTCTAAGCACAGAGACCCAAAACTGGGTTATTAGAGAAATTTAAAGGGGATGGCCTGTCATGGAAGGATGGGCAGTGTGGAATGCAATTCTGTGGGTTGCGGTGACTGCTGAGGAAAATTGCTCTGCAGAAGCGGCATTGAAGCCTAAATGTAATGGATGAAAGTTGAGATGAAGGACGGGGTAAGCACTCCAAGGAGCAGGTACCTAGCATGGAGAACTCAGAAGCATGTAGCCAGAGAATGGCAAGTAGGCAGGAAGGCTAGTCAGAGTGGGTACCCCTGAAGGAATCTGAGAAGAGACTTGCAGGCCAGGAGACATCTTTGAAATACCTCACCGTTGTTTGTGGTGCTGCCTAGTTTTATATCAACTTGGTAGAAGCTGGAGTCTTCTGAAAGGATGGACCCTCAATTGAGAAAGTCTCTGTAAGATCCGGCTGTAGTGCATTTTCTTAATTAGTGCTTGTTGTGTTTAGGTGGAGTTTTTTGTCATGACCTCTAGCTCCCCGATAAACACACAGAGATTTAATTCTAAATGCTCGGCCTATAGTTTAAACTTGTTCTGACTAGCTCTTACAACTTAAATTAACCCATATTTTTTGTCTTAAGTTCTACCATGTTTGTTTGGCTCATGGTTACTTACCTCATTTTCTATACATCCTACTTCCTCTGTTGGGCTCCCAACTCCTCTGACTCCACCTTTCTTCATCTCAGCATTCTCTCTGCCCCCAAAATCCTGCCTAGACATTGGCCAGTCAGCTTTTTATTAACAATGAGAGCGATATATATTTACAGTGTACAAAGATTGATCCACAGCCAATGTAGGAAGGCCCAGCCCATTGTGGGTGGTGCCATTCCTGGGCTTTGTAAGAGAGCTGCTGAGCCAGCTATGAGGAGCATGCGAGTAAGCAGCACCCCTCGATGGCCTCTGCATTGGCTCCTGCCTCCAGGTTCCTGCTTCTTTCTGAATTTCTGTCCTTACTTCCTTCGGTGATGGCCTAAGATGTGAAAGGGTAAGTCACATAAACCCTTTCCTTCCTGAGTTGCTTTGGTCATGTTTCGTCACAGCAATAATAACTAGCTAGAATCTCCAGCCACATCACCCTTTGGGATTTTCCTGAACATGGTTTTCCCTGATGCTACTACTTCCTCGCCAAACGCTGTGCCTATTCCCTTGCCAAGCCCTTTCGTTTGGTTGGAGTAAAATGTCTTGTGATTTGAAACACCCTAAAGGTGAAGGAGATCTGAAAGCACCACCCTGCAGAGTTGTAGCCTGGTTCATTGTCATGGTTCTGATTCTGTTTTGTTACTGACCAGGTCGGTAGGCAGTGCTCTCATCCCCTCATTGTCACAATAAGTTCATGTACGACTGCATTACCAGGTGAAGGGGGACAACGTGAGAAACAATCGGTTTGTAGAGTGAAGACTTTGTCCTTTTGGTTGTGAGCCTCACGGCTGGGCCAGCTCTCCATCCCTGTGAAGACATTCTTACCACTCCATGCTGGACCTTTTCCTGGTTTTCCATTTTCTTGGCCTAGGTTATAAGTAGGCGCACAACCTGAAGTCAAGAGCTGCTTTCCTCTGCGCTGCTGAAACGCTCCTGGTGCTTGCTGTTTGCGTGCGGCCCCACTGTGCTGCATCTCCAACTGTGCCATTGTTTGTGCAACAGCAGCATCTTAGCAGCCTCACAATAAACCGTTCTCTGGAATCCTACAAAGAAGTCATTCTTGGCACCTAAACTGAGATCATTTGTGCCTAACCCTTCATTTCTCCATCTATGAATCCAGTTTAATTAGAAAGTAGTCTATGAACAGTGTCCCATTTTTCAAGTATAATTTGAAACAGCAGATGGCAGACGTGCACATCACCTGCATGCCCAAGCCTTTATGCTTACTCATGCACACTCAATTCCTTTAGCAAAACCAACTATAGATGGTGTGGGAGGCAGGCAAGCCGCCTGGGGAACCCAGGACTCATTTGGTTCATTGCTGCCACCTGCTGGGGCCTGTTTGCTGGGATGGGAAGGCTGTCCAGGAGACAGAGGACCTTCATGACCTCTAGTTTCCCACTGTTAAATTTCTAAGTGGCAGCCTACCCCTGACTTAATGGATTGTGCTGCATTATTCCAAATCAGCCTGGGTAGGAATTTGACTATTTGGTAACCTGCAGTGTCCCGCAGGTTCAGAGAACAAAGGCTATCAAGGGCGCAAAGATCCTGGAGTGCCAGAGCTGCAGCCTTAAAGCAGATACGGTGGAGCTTCTGAATAGTTGAACGAATCTGCTAGGGGCTGGGCCAAAGACAGACTTCTCTCGCCTGTCATGGTGGAACATGTCTCTAGAACCAGCACTCTCAGGGAAACAGGAAGGAAGATGGGAGATTTGAAGGTCAGCCTAAGCAGCTTAATGAGACCTTGCCCCAAAAAACAAAGACAAGTCTGGGTGTGGTGACACTCCGGAAACTGTTTAGGGCCAGCCTGGTCTGCATTTGCAGGTATATAGTCAGACCCTGTTTGTAAGGGGAGGGGGCAGAGTGGCATATACCTTTAATCCCAGTACTCTGAAGGCAGAAATTGGTGGGTTTCTGTGAGTTTGAAGCTAGCTGGGCATACACACACACTGGAGCTTGCTAAAGATCCATACACAGTGTGGTTTGGGTAGTATTGTACACAGTGCAAATATTATCTAGGCAGGAGCCCCTCAACCATTAGAGATTGGTTTTTCTGTAGCAAAACACATCACTTGTGAGTAATTAACTTCTTTTTCTTAGGAACTACTGTAATTTGTATTGGTCAGTTTATAGTGGGTGCTTCGGTGGGCTTTGACAAACAGGCCGGGTTTTGTAGTACACTTAGCACAGTCGTAATTTCTGGGACTCCGGTAGTCATTTGGTAGGCAGTTCTCAGAGATATAAATAGTGCAAGCCGAGCATAAGGAGCCTGGGCCCTCATAGCTTCAGTATGTCTCCTCTCCCTGCTTCAGCGGGCTCAGGCAGCACACAGATAATATCTGTCCTTATTCTACAGGAAAGGGTGTTCTGGAACTCAGAGTTCTGGAACTTAGAGCCATCTTAGCTGAATGGGTGTGGCTCTTAATTTTAATTCCAGCACTCAGGAAACTTATGGAACTCTGGGAGTTGAGACCTGTCTGGCTTACATATGGGGTCTGGACCAGTCAAGACTGCATGATGAGATCCAGTCTTTAAAAGAAGAAAACCCATCTTAGAAGTAGGAATTTTAGGTGCTTGTCATCTGCTTGCTTCCTGACTATGACTTCCCATCCCTACAGTGTGGGTCATTTGTGTGTGTGCTCCTAAACTGCCGAGTGTGGTCTGGACTGAGTCCCCTAAGCCACGGAAGTCATCACCTAAAGTGTGTTTCCTCTAGCTCATTTTCTTTATTCTGTACTCCCAGGCCTTCGATACACATGGTTGTGTGCATGTGTGTACCTTACAGAGCTGTTGAATCTCTGCATAGGAAACCCCACTTGGGTTTTATTTTAAGTGTTATTTTCTGCCTTGATGATCTCCTCTGTGGCCCCTTTTGTTTTTTAGGGATACCTGAAAGAAATATTAAAAGAAATTGGCATTCAGAATGTAAAAGGGATTCACAAGAACACATGGGAGCTGAAGCCAGAATACAGGCATTACCAGGCGGAAGAGAAGAGTGAGTGAGCAGCTGGCACAGCTGAAGGCTGCCCTAGGCCAGCGGCTCACACCACGTGCTGACCGCCTGCAGCGACAACACGGAGACCACAGTCCTGCGACTCCTCTCAATAAACTGTTGAAGCTGGGAGTCCATAGCGTTTATTAAGTGTTTTTTGAAGAGAAAGATGCTATTTATAGACTAAACTTGTGTTAACTATAGTATTCAGCTGGGCATGCTAGCACATGGCATGTGTCCAACACCCAGGAGGCTGAGGCAGGAAGATGATGCTGGAATACACAGCAAGTCCTTCCCCCACAAAAGAAAAATGTTTTCATGATATGGATAGGGGTTTGGGAATTAAAACTGCTTTTGGTTTTAGGGTTAACTTTTCAAGAATAACTAGGCTATTTCCTCAGTGAAAATTATCTGTATCTCTGTGGAACTAACCTAACCTAAGATCAAAAAGGAAGGAGAAAAGATTGGGGTCGGGGGGGAGGGGGCAATCAACTACAGAAACTGTTAAAGGACCATAGAATCCAAGTTCCTTTTTCTGAAACTGAAGAGGGAATTTGTCTCCTCAGAAGTAATGTTCACCTTCAAGCATACATTAATAAAGGGACCTGTTCACTTTGTACTTAATGGCAACTTTTATCACTGGCTTGTTTTGCCCTTATGATATTGGTGAGAGAAACCGTCAAACTGGATGTTAATGTTCCTTTTGTTTGCTTTTAAGATAAGAAAATCTGGGCTGAGAGTGGTGATGGGCACACACTGATCTTGCAGAGGATGGGAGTTTGGTTCCCAGGACTCACTTAGAGTGGCTCGCAGCTGCCTTTAGCCCCAGCTCCAAAGGATCCATGATCCTCGGGCATCAACACATACATTCTCACAGACACATAAATGAATTTTTTTTTTAAGGCTGGAGAGATGACTCAGCACTGGCTCCTCTTCCAGAGGACCCAGGTTCAATTTCCAGCACCCACAGGGCAGCTCACAACTGTCTGTAACTCCAGCTCAAAGAGTTCCAGTGCACATAAAATAAAAATAATTTTTAAAAAAATTTAAATCTCTTAATAATAATTGAACATTAAATACCCTTCTGTTTCAAGATAAATTTCTCTAATCAGATAGAAGCTCCTCGGAGCCTGGCTCTGGCCTGAGAATTTTACTTCCCATTCTGCAGACAAGGGCTAACCCTTGGCTTTCATATTCCATTGCCAGCAGATGGGGCCGGAGGGTGGAGCAGCTGAGGCAGGAAGGACTGGCACCATCTCCTACAGCAGCAAATGCCCTGCTCTCGTCATCTTTGTGGATGGAGCAATCCATCTGGACAGAATGCCATGTGTTGACGCAACTCAAAGTCACACCTGCAAACCAGCAAAGTAAACACCCGGAAAAGTCACCTAGCACATGTGTGCTTTTTATCCTTCACTCTGGATGGCTGCAGCCAAGCCGTACAAATGCTGGGACTAGAAGAATGATTAGAGCAAGAAACTAATTTATTAAAAGAAGGAACTTAGCTGGAGGTGGTGGCGCATGCCTTTAATCCCAGCACTCAGGAGGCAGAGGCAGGCGGATAAATCTCTGTGGGTTCAAAAAACAAAAGAAGAGGAGGAGGGAAGAAAAGAGAGAAGGAACATACATTATTCGCTTTTAGTGGCATATGGCCAGAATGCTGAGGTTGGTGCCGCTGTCCTAAGAAAAGCGTTGTCTTTGTCCTCTGCACTGTCAGACACAAGCCTGCTAAGGAAGGTCATCTTGCTGCCCACCCACCCTCAGCTGTCTTGCCTGCCTTGTTCTGATGCAGAAGCCAATGTGCTCTGCCCTGTCTCTACTGTTTGAAAACCTTCATGCCTGTATCCATTGGTCACATCCATGCCAACTTGCACTCCGCCCACTTCTGGTAGTCCAGAAGCCCATAGAGATGGCATGGTAACTGCAGAACTTGGTGTGCTGGGTAGGTTTTACAGTCTGTGCCTCCCACAGAAGGTGCTGGTTTTGCTCTGTGCTTCTTCCCTGAAACACGAGGCTGCCCTCCTCAGCTCGGTCTGCTTTTGCAGGTGTTGGTAGTGCCACGAGCTCATGAATAGAAGACCAAGTTGGAAATTACACTGGACAGCAGGGTCTTCCCCGTCTCATCTCTGGCTACCATTTCAGTTGTTCTGTACCAGCCACAGCCTGTTATTCAGTCAGTGGGATGTTCAGAAGCCTAACTTGACCTCCATGAGTACTCTGGGGTAGGAGAACTTTCCACAGACAGCTCAGCCCCAGAGGGAGCAGAGTCGGGAACATGACAGCTGGGAAACAGGAACAGTGCCCTTCCTTCCCGCGCTGTCGGGCAGCCCTTGTTAAGCGGCTGGGAAGAGCAAAGGTGTGTTCCAGGAGGACACACAAGACGGACCGGCAACAGACCACCATACAGGTTCTAGACCACCAGTGATGCCATCCCCAGGACACAGCTGTGACATCAGTAAGCCCTCACCCAGGTGTGGACCTACAAAGAGACAGCACTGTGGCCTGAATTTCGAAAGTCAGTACTGTCTCTTTGCACAGTGATGTTAAAGGTGGGCCCTTTCAGTTGTGTGTTTTACAGTGTTCGTCATACAAAAACATTGGCATCAAAACTACAAAAAAACCGCTCAGATTCAATAACAAACTACATAGTTTAAAATGGGCAATAGCAGTAAACATGCATTTCTTGAAGGGTTGGGTCAGTAGCACATGAAAAGCTGCGCAACAAAATTAAGACACCCCCCCCCAAAAAAAAAAAACAACATGCCACATGCCTGCTGGATAGGTAAAAACCTCGCTGTGGAACCCCGGGTGCTAGTGAACAAGGAGAGTAGCCAGGACTCTCAGACACTGTCCCTGGTCCTCAGGATGCGGCTCTTGAATTTGGAAGCTTCTAACAGATGAACACGGCAACCCTGAAGTCCTGCTACTAGGAGGTGAAGATTCATGTGTTTAGAAACCTGTAGGTTTACTTTCAGTCACCAAACCCTGGAAGCCACTCAGCTCTGCACCAGACAGTAGATCAGACTGCGGTACAGTCATGCGGTGGGTCTCTTCCCAGAGGGAAGATGAAAAACTGCAGCTGCAGAGGTCTCTGCTGCATTTGATGTGACCACCCACTGTGGGCCTCCATCTATCATCTGCAAGGGCAGAACAGGAGGAAAGAGAAGGCCAGTGTTTGTATGGAGTACCCTGGGTGCTTACTGGGAAGACAAGGAACTTTGGGCAATGAAAATGCTGATTGCCTCTGTGATTATATGATGTGTATAAAAATTTGATCTGTGTGTTTAAAAGGTGCCTTACTACAGAGAAGCCTTGTCAACTGTGATGACTTATGCCTGTAATCCCCACTGAGGGTAAACTGAGGCAAAAGGACTGCACTTCCAGCCCAAGCCACATAGCAAGACCCCACCAACAGATAGTTTTAAAGGGAAGGAGAAACATGGCTTTGACCTACCTTACTTAATGTATGTAAGAAAGAGAGAGACTAGGGAGTTAGCCCCGGCCTGTGCACACTAGTCATGCTCTCCACAGTGCACTCAGTATCCCAGACAGACCTGGAGCTTTGGATCCTCTCATCATGGCTTCCTGGCTAGCTAGGGTTGTAGGCCTGTACCACAAGGCCCTAGTCAAACTGACTGTTGACTGAGTTTTCTGTCCTGCCCAGTTCTCACAGTCATTAAGTCCCAAAGTACATTATTCAGCAGGGAAGTCACATCTTGCTGCTTCTACGGCTGGGACAGGATTTAAGAATCTGCTTCCTTCTTCCCAGAATTCGCCTGTTCTCATTGACCCGCCTCTACTTCCTGTCTGGTTGTCCCATCTATACTTCCTGCCTGACCACTGGCCAATCAGCATTTATTTAAAATATAATTGACAAAATACAGACCATTGTCCCACACCAACTGACTTTTTCAAAATTAAATCAAGTGAAAACTGGAAAAAAACGTCCATTAACACAGAAGGTTAAAAGTGGTTTATGTAATGGACTGTCTGTAGCAGTTTAAAGAATGTGGTATATTGTTTTGAACTGACAGAATTTCAGTTTTAAATAGAACTATGTTAAGGGCTAGAGAGATGGCTCAAAGGTTAGGAGCACTTGTTGCTCTTACAGAGGACCCAGGTTTGGTTCACAACACCTAACCATAACCCCAATTCCAGAGGACCTGATGTGATGCCTTCTGACCACCAGACATGTATAAGCAAAAAGGCAAAACACTCATACATGTAAAATAAGTAAATAGGAAAATTTAACAAATGTGAATTGTGGGTGATTGAAATTCTGCATAATGTAAACAGGATAAACTTTTAAAAAACACTTTTTGTAAGATGCTGGTTATGGTAATAAAAATAAAACTAGCTATTTTTATGTGAGCTTAGATGTTTGTGAACACATAAGAAAATGCCAAGGGAAACATACCTAATTTTTAGTACTACCTGTCGGGGAGACAGAAACAGAGAGCAAAAGAGGGTGCTTCTCTCGCTGAGTCTTGTAGGAGGATGTTTGTTTGTTTCCGGGCCACCCGGCAGCTCAAACCGAAATAATCACACAGAAACTGTATTATTTAAAACTCTGCTTGGCCCATTAGCTCTAGCTTCTTATTGGCTAACTCTTATATCTTAATTTAAACCGTTTCTAGTAATCTGTTTCATCACAGTGCTGTGGCTTACCAGGTAAAGTTCTGGTGTCTGTGTCTGGCAGGGTTACATGGCTTCTCTCTGACTCTGTCTTCTTTCTCCCAGCATTCAGTTTAGCTTTCCCTGCCTAGCTCTACTCTACCCTATAAGGCCAACTCAGTTTCTTTATTAACCAATGGTATTCACAGCATATAGAGGGGAATCCCACATCAGAGTCTGTGCCTTGAAACTGTATTTATTGTGTGTATGTATGTGTGTGTCCAATCTCAAAGGGAGACTGTGACTCTAAAAGTTAGATTAAGGCTAGTCCTAGAAATGCATGGGGTTCCATTTCTCCCTACCTGGACTTACAGGATATCTCAAATCCTGCCAAAAAACAAGACCCTCCAGAGGATAGGGGAAGAGGATAGGCGTGATTCCCTGGACTTTCAGGAAGTTTCACACGTGTGTTTTGAGCTTCACACAAACGGCCCAACAAGTAGAGTCTCTACAATGTT